GATTATTATATTTTATCGAAAAAAAAACAAATAATAATATAAATAAATAAAAATACAAAATTAAAAAATATCAAATAATATATATTATAAATTATTATAATATAAAATACATTTAATATATAAATTATTCAAACATATTATATTCAAATTAATATATTTAAAAATAAAATATTTTATGTTCGGATTATTTTTCAAATTTAAATTTATAAATAATAATTATATATATTATTATATTATTATAAATAAATTAATTTATAAAAATAAATATAATATATGGTTTTTTTATTATATATTAATTAAATATATAATATTTAATATCTTATTAATAAATAAATAAATTCTTAATTTATATAATATATTTAAATTAATAATAAATTTACCAAAAACAATATAAATATATATTTTAAATAAAAAATATAATATAAAAAAAATATTTATTAAAAAAAATTACAAAAAATATTAGAAAATACAAAAAAAAACATTAAACCAAAAATAATTATTAATATATTATTATTTTTTAATTCCTAATATAATTAAATAAAATATAAATATAAATTAATTTTAATTTTTCATTATAAATATAATAATTTAAATACATTTAAATAATTATAATATAAAATAATATATATTAATATTATATATAATTTTTATTATATATTAAATATAATAAAAAAAAAAAAATCAATTTTATTGATATTAAATTTGAAATTTAAATAAATTATATAAAATTATTATATTTAAATATTATAAATTAATTTAATATATTTATGTAATTAAATTTATATTATATATTTATTAAATAATATATATATTAATAAAATCATTTTGGATATATAAATTAAATTATTTAAAATAATAAAATTATATAGAAGAAATAAATAAAATATAATTTACGAATCCAAATATTTTCATATATAATGGTATGGATTCCGAAATATATAGATAGGATTTATATTTATATATATATATATATTATTTAATTTATTCGATTCTATCTTATTATTAATATTTTGTTTAAATTATAAATAATTTATAATTATAAATTTATAATATGAAGATATATTTATTATGTTTTCAATTTATTTTGATTCAGATAATATATTTGAATATACATTTATTGTGTTGTCAATTTACCAGCTCACAGGCTCTGGCAAGCTCACCAGCTCTCTAGGGCTCCTGCTTCAGATTTCTTGATATTTTGTTGTTTGGATTCTTCAAGAAATCGAGCTGGTAATCTGCTTCAAGAAATAATTCTTGATGTTTTTTTCTGCTTCAGGATTCTTTCTCATTGTTTCTCTTGGTAATTCTTTCATCCGGAGTGCGCGGAGATTCTCGTGAAACGTGTCTTTTTTGGCGATCTCATTCTGTGTGGCAACTCATCAGGTTTAAACCACTCATCACGTAAGGATCGCCGATTCAACCGTACAGTGGGACTGTCACAACCAGCACAAGTTGCACCTAAAGATAATGCACCTAAAGATAATACTGAAAGTGCACCTCCCAGGAGATGAAACAACAAGTGAAACTTACATCAGTTGACAAACTTATCATTCTTTAGTTAGATGCAAACCCCGAACAACATGGACATGGCTTCAATGTTGGAGACAGTCCAGCAAGCACAAAAAGTTTCTTGGCGTGTGCCCATGCCCCTTCCGATTAGGTCCTCAGGGCAGCAGTGAGACCCAAGGGAGGTTCAGAAGTAGCTGTAGCTGCTTCACCCAATTTTCAATATTAAGGTGGTCCAGAAAATAAATATATAGAAATCACTGGAACCAAAAGAAACAGTCGTGCCTCAATTGATGTTGGTTAATTTTGTTTATTTCTTTGGGTGTACCACGCTCATTCATCTATCTATCACTTCTGCTGCATTTTCCAAAATGGGCGGAGGGCGGAGATTACAACATATATGATGAAGGATCGGTGTGCCCTGATATCACCCGAACCCCCTGTGGCTAAGGTCACGACCACAGCCATGACAGTTTGTTGATCATGATCTGAGGAGTGATTGACAGCATGGGCTGGCCATCTGCCAGAATATCACCCCTGGATGAATGAATCTGGGTAAATTATAATATTTCACTACCATGAATTAAGGCCATTTGGGGATGATTTCCCTTATTAGCCATGATTCCAGTGAGGTCGCAGTGAGGTCGTTATCATTTACCCAGATGAATGCTCATCCCTGGCTCTTTGATTTCGGGGGTATCATTTTAGTAGCAAATGAAGTCGTTCGGCGCGTGGTACCCCCAAATGAATCAACCAGTTTGTGTTAATTTGTGGCTGGCACCATTATTGTGATTGACTCATAGTTGATTGAAGTTCTACATGGGACCCAAAAAAATGACATAAAAAAGTACGGTACCTGCTGGAGATTGACCAAACGCCTGAGTAAAACATTGCTGATGATTATAAATAATCATGTTCAACGTGTGGGTCTCGTGCACAAGATACATCTATATCAGATCATCAAGTATCATATTTCTGGGAAATATGAAATATGGAGGAAAATCCATAAATCACAAAGCTGAAAAATTCACCCATTTTGTGATAGTTGCCGCAATCCTGCCCCTCATTTGCCCAACAATAAACAACCCTGGTTCTTCATGTTTGGGCCATCGTGAAGTAATTTAAACATATTTAAACCCTACCAAACATGTTCAAACATTGGGTTTGTGTCATGGGTTGGTCCATGTTCAAACCTAAGCCTTGGATTTAATCTGAAAGTCTTTAGTAATTTACCCCACGCATAATACATAAGACTTATATCAACATCTAAGATACTTGTTCCCAATTAACCCCAAAATTGACGCCCCAGTTTATTAACATGGAAGTTCCCGGGTTCCTTAAATAGTCAGGTTTCCATAGTAAATGGTAGGGCCCAAATTGGTAAACTATGGTAGGGGTTTACAAAATCCTTTGTTGATATTGGAACCCATTGAATCGGTCACAGGAA